CTAGTGTAAGTGTAAAAGCAAATATGGGGTGGGATTATATGTTGAATATAAAAAGTGATCGTTGATTGAGTATTAACCATTGAATTAGAATTTTTAATCAAATTACTAATATTAAATTAGGGATTAAATAGTAATTTTCAATACTCCAATTACATAAATGCCTCGAGATTCATTCTCTTACTCCTTAGATGCGCATTCTCTTTCCTCGTTTGATGCAACATTCGGTTAAAAACACAAACTTGATCCTTCCAACGAAATTAATGGGTGAGATCGATGCAGACAAGCAAAATCAACTATTTATTATTCCAACCCCAATTAGTCCCTCAGCAAGGAGTGGAGACATTGATTATAACACCAAAATTACAGTTAAATAAAATAAATTACCATACCGTTAGATTGACTTCAGCATTTACCTATGTATAGAAGAGTATCTTGTATTATATTACACAACGCAATATTTGATGATAAATACAAAATTCAACATCTTATTATTTATGGGAAAATTTTTTATAATACAACACTTAACATTTTGTTTGACATATTTCAGCATTCAGTAAGAACAAGTAAGAACTACATGTCACTGGATAAATTTATAGCACATTTCTCTGCATATAGTCAGAATTTCATCTTTCATTATTCAACATTTCAAATTATATACATCAACATCTTGGTACACTATATACAACATCGGCGAACTTCGGTTGAATTGAACTAGGGCTTCAACGGAAACAAATAGTGAACTCAAAATAGGGCTTCTCCACAACGATTTAACTTAAATAGGATGGAAAGAGAGAAAAAGATTAACATATATTATGTTTAAGGAGGCGGATAGGAAGGAGAAAACTTAGCGAAACTTAACACGAAGAGAAATGAGATTGAATGTCGCCCTACAAACGCACTCGGCCTCGTCGATATGAAGAACGACGATGGAGAGTTGAACAAGACCACGGGCAATTGAAGAAGCCGATTTGAAGACGACGGTTTGAAGAACGCAAACGAGGGAAGGTTTTTTACCCTAGCCGAAGGTAAGAACTGAAGAAGAGGAATAATGAATAAGATTTAGCAAACCAAGTAACTTGTTCAAAATCAAAATGACAATTCTACTCCCTTGAATCTAGACCATCAAATTTTGATCTAATCAGCATGGTGCTGATGGGTGCACCCAGCAACATGGATCTGCCTCCGTGACAAAAAAACACCCAAGATTTGTTAATCCAATTTTTTATAAAAACTTGGAGAATTCCAATCCACCAGATAATCCATTATAAAAAAGGTGGAATTAATTATGTCTGTTCATGAACAAACATGGATTTCCTACACATTAATTACTCCACAATGTTAGAAAAATTAATTAAATTTAATAAATATAACTTCAATTTAAATTTAAAAAATTGCATTCAATTCTTAGAAAAATCAGTGTACATCCATTGAGAGATTGCATCAAATATATAAATATGGTGGAGGCCTAGGATCAAATCAAATCGAAAATCTAGAATCAAATCAAATTCTATATTCCAGATAGAGAATCAAAATTATTTGTTATATTTTATAAATATTTTTCTTATACAATAAAATCTTAGAATTTTTACTTTTGATTTCAGTGTCAAAATAAAAAAAGAATGTACAAATTATTTCTTGAAAGTTTATTTTAAGATATTTGACAATAGGGTCGAAATACAGTTTTTGAAAATGTGTCTAAATACAAGCCAATACGAATATCCAAGTTATAACTCTTTTTGCCCTACCGATTCAAAATTTTCCAACAAAGGTAACCTTTTCAATAGCTTTCTCTATACCACAATATACAAGAAAGTGATTGTCATTTAGCAGACATGAAATCAGCAGAGAAACAATCAAGAATCTCTGTCTTCAAAAATCATATTTTGAGCTTCATGGATGCTAAAGAACAACTTGAGAACATTGAAGGATTTTGTCCTTCACAGTCAACCGAACAAATGGAAATGGCATAGCATTTTCCTCTTTGGTGTTTGAATGCATTACCTGACAATGAACTGTGATCTTTGTATTATATGCCAAAATAAGAAATAAGATTTGTATTCTAACAATAATTTCTTGTTGTGGAGCGGGACTTCACTCATATTGAAAGCCTATATTCAAAAGATTTTGGAATTTAAACCAAAACATAAATAATTCACTCCTTAAGATGTAATTTTGTTTATTCTATGATGAAGACATTTTTATGACAGTTTAGCTTGAATTAAGATCAAAATGATCCATTCATTGGATCTCATCAACAAGAGCAAGTTTTATATGCGCGTCATCATTTCCTTTTGATTTCTCAGCTCGTCTTGCTTGTTGGAGAAATCATGTTCTTGAACTGCATCTTCAGTTCCTAGAAAAGTGGTGAGTGATGATTCCCATCTTTGTCAATCTTGCAAGGAAAAGAGATTGCATAAATGACGATATACACGGTTAGATATTAAAATATTTTAGGATTTTGTTGGGCCTGCAGATGGACTCCAATGTTTGGGCCACAAACAAACCCAAGAAGGCGGTTGGGTTTCCACACATCCATTAAGGGAATCAATCAACCAGTCGGTAGCCTGTCCGGTCAGCTGGTCAGTCTGTAGCTTGTCTGGTCGGCTGGTCAATTGGTAGCCTGTCTGGTCGGCTGGTCAGTCGGTAGTCTGTTTGGTCGGAAGGTGGGTTGGTAGCATCAGATGCAACCGAAAAGCGGTTCTTCAGGCAGTTGCAACCGTGAAGTGGTTTTTCAGGCGGTTGCAACCAAGGGGCGGTTCCTCAGGGGAGTTGCAACCGACTGATAATTTGTCACACACGATCCGATAACCGACTTGGAAGGCATATAACAGGCACCTCGCATTCGGCAAAAAGTGTCTTCAATCAACATCAATTTCAGTAAAATTCGCTTTGGGATCATCCTTTTTATCTTTCAGTATCTGTTGCTTTTATTTTTTCTTACATTTTGTACGGTATCTAGGGATCTAAAATTTTAGATATTATTGTAGTCAAATTCGAATTAGTTTCGGATTTTACTTTAAATTGTTGAAAATAGCATCAACAATTTGACGACCACAGTGGGAGTCAAGCAAGATTGCTGATCCTACGTCAGACATAAATTTCATACGACTAAGGTCCGGCCGAATCATCGGAATGATCCATATGGCAGGTTCACAACCTCAAGTCTTTTCCACCACAGCGGGGGAAACAACATCACCGTCCGTGGTTAACACAGGGGAATTTTCCCAAGCACCCAATGATTGGGTGACATATGTTCAGCAGTTGAACAACCAACAGACACAGACCATGCAGGCAATGTTGCGCGAGCAACATAACTTAATGTAGAATATGTTGGATCAAACGTTGGCAAAGGTAACCCTTCAACCCACTCAAACACCACCAGCAGCGTCACCATCCAGATTATAGACAAACTTTGTTGGGCCATCTTACGTAGACAGTACCATCCCAAGTGCTGCCATTAGAGGGAAAACAACCCTGACATACGCAAACACAATCCCGTTGGGTGCCAGGAGAATTGATCAAGCAATGTTCGAGAGGGACGAAAGGATGGGAGGCCAGATGCACAATCTCATTCCGGTTTTTTATCATAATCCACCCAGAGTGGACCCAGAAGATATTGCTCAAGTGCTAAGAGTACATTTTGGCATGAATCCTCAAACAGTGAACAAGCTGACAATACAAGCTAAGGCAAGAATAATTCCATTACTATTCGAGAGGCCACGACTTGATTCAAATCACTCGAAACAATTTGATTTAGGGATATGAATATGTAACCGAATCACTCAAGATTACACTTCAAAAAATTGCACAAGAATCGCTCTTCAAATAAAACCAATTTATAAAATATCTTTATTGAATGAATAATCCTTACAATGATAATCATGGACCTTTTATAGGGGAACCATAGAAATTAAAACAAGAAAGTAGACTCTTAAAGGAAATAAAATCATATAGGGAATATTTATTATAATCAACCTTATTTAGTATTTATGACCCATAATTCATGGCAATCCCATGATTATTGGTAATCACTTGATCCTTGGAATTCCTTCATTTAGGGGAGATTGATTCACGTGATCCCTTCAATAATCATGGATAGTAATTTAGGGGAGGTCCAATTTCTTGTAAGGTGCTCCTGGCCTTATGGTCCTTGAGACTTGTGGTCCAATTCCAGAAGAATCCATGGTTTATTTTGATCCTCGGCGTAGAGTTCAACAGTGGCATCCATTTGAAGTTTGGTACACTTTGTAATTGCCAATTGAAATTTATGGGCTCGGCTCCTAGTGATTGATCCATGAGGAATTATGATTGGGTCCGATTCCGTCATGATGGTCACATCATTAATCAACCAAAGATGGGAAACGCAAAATATAAATCAACTTCGAAAGCAATGCAGGCAGCCGTAGGAAAGGGAAGAAGGGGAGAGAATGAGAAACCGTACTTGCACAGGCTTTTTACAATACCAGATAGATCCCTCTAGAATGTAATATATATAATTTTTATATTTTTTTATACCATCCAGTATCGTTTCATATTTTATTATAATGGAATGAATTTTATTATTGAACAAAATGATGCTAAGAAAATGGATAATTAAAATGAATGTCTGAGGACTATATATATATATATTACATAAGCTCATAACCGGCACATATTAAAGCTTCATAACCATGTGGGGTATTTGCAATTTCCGTCCCTATAGTTAACCGTCTTTTCAATTTGTGTCCCTATAACATTAATTTCGTAAAAACTGTCCCTCTTTTTTGCTAATCTGCGCAAAATCTAGTCTAAACGGTAATTAGAAGAATATTAAGGGTAATTGAAGAACGCCGTCGATGGAGTAGGCACGTGCCACCCACGTGACCGTGCATTAGACCGAACCAGTTCTCATTAGACCCGGTTCTCCACCGAACCGGTTCGTTTCAATCCCGGTTCGGTTTGAACCGCTCTATATCTTCTCCACACCGATCTCATTCCCCCATTTCTCAGTCCAATCGCCGATGGGCTGCGTTTCCTCCGCTCTGCTTAACCAGGATGATGACTTCTCCCAAATCGGCGCCTCCGCCGCTTTCAGCCACCACATTGTGTCCCTCACCTCCACCACTTACGGCCTGTTGACCCTCAACGCGCCGGAAACTGAAGTGCCGGCGAAGACAGTCCTCCCGCCGCCGCGGACCACTCTCGGCTCCCTCTTCCCCAGCCCACTTTCCGAGCCCCGGTCGCTCCGGCACCAGCCATGCTTCGAGACCATCAATTCTTGGGACCTCATGTCCGGACTCGATTCCGACCATATTCCTAGCTTCAGATTTGCCCCTTCCAAGATTTCAAATAATCCTCCCGTCGCCGGCTGCAACGACGAGAATCTGAGCCCCGACGTCGGAAACAGGCAGCCGCCGCCGTCGTCTTTCGCCAAGGATCTGAACCGGTTCCTGGAGGGATTCGAGCCGATCTGCCCGCCGAACGGGGAGAACAAAGTGGTGCTGTACACCGCCAGTCTTCGAGGAGTCCGGAAGACCTTCGAGGACTGCAACGCCGTCCGATCTGCGATTCAGGGATTGGGGATTCCGGTGTGCGAGAGGGACATCTCCATGGACAGAGGGTTCAGGGAGGAACTGAGGGAGCTGATGAAGGGAAAGAACGGCGGCGAATCGGTGGTGCCTCCGAGGCTGTTCGTTAAAGGGAGGTACGTCGATGGCGCGGAGGAGGTGATGAAGACCGACTGGACTGAGATCAGTGTGGAGAAGATATGGAGCGGTTCGAACCGAACCGGGTTCGAACCGAACTGGGGTTGAACCGAACCGGTTCGGTGGAGAACCGGATCTAATGAGAACCAGTTCGGTCTAATGCACGGTCACGTGGGTGGCACGTGCCTACTCCGTCAACGGCGTTCTTCAATTACCCTTAATATTCTTCTAATTACCGTTTAGACTAGATTTTGCGCAGATTAGCAAAAAAGAGGGATATTTTTTACAAAATTAATGTTATAGGGGCACAAATTGAAAAGACGGTTAAATACAGGGACAGAAATTGCGAATACCCATAACCATGTTATTAAATTTTGAATTTGAATTTAAAATTTCAAATTCAAAAATTAAAATATGAGAAGTTATTTCATAATTATTCAGCACATTAATTCTCAACACCGACATTGTGTCATCTAAAGCGTCATATTGTAAGCCTTGAACACTGCTGTGTCATTCACGGCATGCCATCCAAGCAAACAATAAACAATCCATACAAATAGGAACATTTAATTAAGAATGTAAAACAACAAACCAGGAAAAGTATCATAATAGAGTCACGCAGCCAATCCTTTCTTCTAACCACATAATGCGGTTATATAAAACAGCCATTTAGCATATATTAGGATATACAACATCGATTGCAATCGAAAAACCGAAAGCATTCTCTGCTCTAAAGAGATTCAATAATTTTATTAGAATCACAGGACTGAGCATGGGGGCGGAGTTCATCTGCAGAGTAGTCTTCATTGACAGCTTCTTCCTCTGCATCTGTTCCATTGCGTTCAATCCGACTAGTGTTTCTTCCACACCTCGAATTTTGGTTGTCGGCCTGACTTCTTGAAGCTGAAGTTGGTACTCCTTTGGTTCTTGCCTTTTGCTTCCCTAGAGCTTCCAATTGGCAACAAATTGTGTCGGCAATTGATGCTTGCATCTTCCATGGAACAGTAATTATTTTCATTCTCCAAAATAAAACTCTCTATCAGTTAATGTAAAACAAAAGGCTGTGTATGATCCTCATTCATTCACTTAATGACCAGAGCTATTCTCCTATATATTCTGCTTTAGTCCTCGACCACTAGGAGCAACTACAGCCGATTGAGGTTCCCTATGAGCAACACTTGATGATGATACTTTTCTCTTTCCTTTGTAACTATTTGATTAATGGTTATCCTACAGAACAATGAGGTATACATGTTTAAATACGATCAAATGCTTCAAAAAAATACTGGAAGTCTTAATATAGGCTGAACATGACACAACCCAATAACTATAAGCTACCAAGAAAGTTGTAATGTTTGCATGACGTGAAAATATTAAATGGACAATATTTTGATTTATCTTTTAGGCCCCAGTTTCAATATCTTGGAGTGTACCGATTCTCTTAACAATACGATGATACACATGAAAAATTCTTTGAAAAGTATTATTATTGTTTATTTCCTATCATGGATTAAAGCAGATTAGTAGAAAAATTAATAACAAGTACAAAGCATAATAAGTGCAAGGAATTTCTAATAACATATCTATTTTAATGAACCTAAATGTTCAAGTAGACCAGACTTGAAAAGGTTTAATTCGCTACTAAACCAATAGTTTAAAGGCATGTATACCAATGATTGTCATCTTAGTTATAAAAATTTATGACATCGCAAGATAGAAAGAAGATATTTTACAATAAAGGAGGTGGCCAACACTCACCACTTTTTCCGGAGATAAAACCTTGCATGATCTTCGTATCATGAGTTCGTAACCTATTTATATATAAATATTTACAAATGTCTGAGGCAACTGCTTGTATTTCTTGTAGTGTATATATTCTGCTCCAGTCCTAGACCACTAGGAGCAACCGCAGTCGATTGATGTTCCCTATGAGCAACACTTGATGACATTCTTTTCTCTTTCCTTTATAACTATATGATTGATGATTATGTTATGAAGTTAGGTAAAGTCAAGGTCTATATTAGAAGAGGGAGAAGCACCGCAGTCACTTAGAATAATTATTATTTTATTTCTTATTATTTCCCTTATTATATTATTTACTGTTTAATTGTTGATTATGAGTCTTGGGCTTGGCCCATAAGTCCGCACATCTAGGTCATGTTAGGTTGCCCGTCATTATTTTGGTTTTGGTTTTAGAGCGAATTGATTTTCCTCTGTGGTACTCTATTTCCATTGATTTGAATAAGTTTTCTCTTCGATAACCCTAAGTCATAACAATTGGTCCGACCTGCCGGATCCTTTGCTGACGGAATCATGCCCATCTCCAATCAACAACGATTCGAGCTATTGGAAACAACCGTTGGAGAAATACAGGAGGAGGTAAACCAGATCCGCCAGGATCTTTCTGCCAAGTTCAAGACTTTGGGAGAACAAAACACGAATCAGATGGTTTCGCTGCGGCAGGAGTTGCTCGTAGCGCTCGGTGGCGTCAGTGCCGCCGCTGATGCAACTGCGTCAATGCGTCAGCCACCGACTCAATTCCTGGCACCCTCGGAGTCGCCGCCATGGCGCAGCATCCACTCGCGCCCGATTCTCAACCGTTAGGGGGGTTGACTTCCCCCCATGGTAGCGTCGCTACCCCGCTCCTCTCAGAAGTCAAACTACCACCGTTTGACGGGACGGAGCCTATTGGTTGGGTTGCTCGCGCTGAGCAACAGTTTGAACTCCACCAGGTGCGAACAAAACTCAATATAGCATTAGCGCGCATCACCATGGAGGGTACAACTCTGCACTGGTCTCGATGGCAACACTTTCGCCACCCAACCGCCACTTGGGCGGAGTTTTCCAGAGCCCTATTACTTGCAGTGGCACGTTAAAAGGGATTGTCCACAGAAGAAGGGAACTGCAAAAGTTGATTCTAGTAACAGTGGCAGCAGTGATGCTGTGGTACAAGACAGTTCTGATGATGATGGGGACTTTGGTGAAGTTCTGATAGCGTATAGTGCTAGTACTGCTGATTCCTGGATTATGGATACCGGTGCTTCTCACCATATGACGTTCTCTCATGATCTACTCACTTCTTTTAAGGAGTGGAATGGAACGGTGAAGTTAGGTGATGATGGGATTCTAGCCATAAAGGGGAGCGGGATAGTGCAGATAAAATTGCATGACGGTACTGTTAGAAAATTTGACTGTTGGTATATTCTTGAACTCAGAAAGAATTTGATTTCTCTTGACACCTTAGCCAAGAATGGTTTAAAATATCATGGTGAAGGTGAGTGGGTGAAAGTCTTGAAAGGTGCTCTGGTAATGATGAAGGGAAAACTGCAGCATGGAGTTTATTTTCTACAGGGTAGTTTAGTGATGGGAACAGAGGCGGTATCCCAGTCCTTGGATAAACATGATGACAGGACAAATTTGTGGCACCGTCAATTAGGTCACATAAGTGAGTTAGGGTTGTCTGTGTTGCGCAAGCAGGGTTTATTTGGTGGGGATGTGATAGGTAAAATTCAATTATGTGAGGCTTGTGTAAAAGGGAAGCAACGCAGGGTGAGGTTTAGTACCGGTCATCACACTTCAAAAGAAATTCTGGAGTATGTTCATTCAGATCTATTGGGTCCCTCTCCGGTGAAATCGCAGGGCGGGTGTTCTTACTTTATCACTTTCATAGATGATTATTTGAGAAAAGTCTGGTTGTACTTTCTGAAGACTAAAGATGAGGTGTTTGGGAAGTTCAATGAGTGGAAGACAATGGTTGAAAAACGGACGGGTAAACAGGTCAAGACTCTAAGAACTGATAATGGGTTGGAGTTCTGGAACGCTCCATTTGATGATTTCTGCAAGAAAGAAGGTATAGTGAGGCACCGCACTGTACGACACACACCACAGTAAAATGGAGTTGCAGAGCGAATGAACCAAACCCTCATGGCGCGTGCTAGGTGTATGCACATATTTGCTGGCTTATCTAAGCAATTCTGGGCTGAAGCAGTTAACACTGCTGCCTATCTGGGTAATAAATCTCCATCAACTGCAATTGACTTAAAGACTCCTCAAGAGGTATGGTCTGGTAAACCCTCTGATTACTCTAATCTAAGAATATTTGGATGCCCTGTATACGCTCATGTGAATGATGGTAAGCTGGAGCCGAGGGCAGTAAAATGCATATTTCTATGGTATGCAACAGGAGTAAAAGGTGATCGACTGTGTTGTACAGAAGGTAAAAATCCTGGTAAAGTTCTTATTAGCAGAGATGTAATCTTTGATGAATCTGCTATGCTTGATCAGAGTAGAGGTTGTGAAAGTATTGCAGGTACAAAAGATTGTGGTGCTGACCAGAGGGTGGAGTTTGAGACTCCTGACAAAGTTGTGTTAGAAGAATAGCAGTAGGATAATACTATTGATCAATCCGATCAACCAGATCAGTCAAAACCATAAGGGAAACCGGTTGAGAGGGAAGCTGATGACGCTGGTACCGGGGTTGAAGATTCCATAGCAGCAAGAAAGGGAAAGAGAAATATTCAGAAACCAGTTAGGTTTGCAGGTTGTGTCAATACATATGACATGAATTCTATTGCTTATGCACTGACGGTTGGTGATGATCTTGGCTCTGATGAGCCAAAGACATATAAAGAAGTTGTGGCGAGTAAAGATGCAGAAACCTGGATTATGGCAATGAATGAAGAGATGCAGTCTCTTGAAAAGAACAAGACTTGGGATCTTGTTGCACTACCAAAATGGGTGAAGCCAGTGGGATGCAAGTGAGTCTTTAAAAGAAATGAGGGAATTCTTGGTGTTGAACCTGCTAGGTTCAAGACGAGACTGGTGGCAAAAGGGTTCTCACAGAAGGAAGGAATCGATTACCATGAAGTCTTTTCTCCTGTGGTGAAACACAAAACCGTTCGGGTTCTTTTGGCAATGGTGGGCCCTTTTGATCTGGAGCTGGAGCAGCTTGATGTAAAAATAACATTCCTCCATGGTAATCTAGAAGAACAGATTTACATGTCTCAACCGGAGGGGTTCTACAGTTCTAAAGGGGACCAGGTATGCTTATTAAAGAGATCTCTGTATGGCTTGAAGCAGTCTCTGAGGCAATGGTACAAGAGATTTGA